TTTACGTTACTTTATGTTGATCTTCCTGTTTATTTATTATTATTGTTTTGATGAGGATAATGTTATAACATATTTAAATTACATGTAACAACCTATAATGTAATTAAAGGTTGTTCATTTGATCCGGACGCTGTTTCGTCTTCGTTGCCTTGACGACTCGTGTGTTTATGTAAAGTGTTTAACAGCAGCTCCTCCCTCTCCTCTGTCCTGTGGGGGCGCTGTTTCATATCCAGGCTCCTCATGCAGAGAATTCAATCAGCCTCCGTAACTTCCAGCGTTTCATAAATCTGTTCTGCTCCTTCTTCACATCTCAGCTCCGTCGGCTCGGCCTGGTTCCTCCTCTGATGACCAGCAGGTGGAGCTGTTTTCAGACAGATTATCAGAAGTGATGTTGGTCATTAAAAGTGAAATATAATGTTTTATATTTATATAAAGGTTGAAGGTCATCAGAAGTCAGTGAACGCTCGTCTAGTCTCTGTTCTGTATCGTGAGCTTGAGCTTTCTTCTTCTTCTCTGCAGGCATCATTTCCACTTTCCTCCACGTTCATCCGTTCGGGGCGAACCTGGAATATCTGGTGTCGTACATCCAGAGACTCGACTCCAAGGTAAATCACTTCCTGTCAGTCAAAGTTCAGTGACTCTCCAAATAAAAGCATTTTCAGTTTAACTCCTAACATTTACTATCATGTTAAACTGTGACCTGATGGTGGCGCCATCATTTAGGAGTAAACCTGTTCTCTGTAAGAATAAATACAATTATGTATAAATATTCGGATTTCTGCTCTCGTCCTCTCACAGGTGTCGGCGGGGGAGCTGGAGCGCCTCATGGTCCGTCTGCCCGCCATGTTCAGGCAGGAGCTGAGTGGCGTCGGCGCCACTCTGGAGAAACGATGGAAGTTCTGCGGCTTCGACAGCCTCGGTTCAGCGTGACGCAGGTGGAACATGCACACGCCAGGAAAACACGTGAAGAGACACGTGTGACGCCATGGACCTTTAATCCGTGTGTGTGTCGGACAACAACGTTCATCATGTGAGCAAAGGGACAAAGTTGGTGGACGTCAGACGGAGGTGAAACTTTTTTTTATCTTGAACTCATCATGTGACCTGGAAACGTCTCTGACCTGAATCAGGCTCCGACTTTTCTCTTCTTCGTGTTGAATCAACACAAACAGAGAAAAGAAGAAACTTAAACCAAAGCTGATCCTTCGTGTGTTTACACCATAAAACCAGTTTCAAACCAGTTTCATCCATCCACTCAACAGGAGTATTTATTTCTGAGGCTCCGCCCACACGGATACACTTCAGTGTTAAAACTGTTGTTATGGTTACGCCCCCAGCCTGTAATAATGTCTGTGGGTCATGTGACCTGTGTCCAGGTCGTTAGTTATGTTTACAGAATCAGTCCGTCCGTCCTCTGCTGTAATAACACAGTTGTCTTCTGAAGACGTTTGGATGAAGACCAAACGGATAAAATGGAGCAGTACCAGCGGAAAGTACCAGGGGGCAGTGTAGCAACAGTTCAGATGTCACAGGACAACATCACCATGTTTGTCAGAACCTGTGGACTCTGCGCTGCCCTCTAGTGGATTAACAACCGTACCAATCCGAAGGATACATGGAAATACACGAACAGTTTGAAACCAACGTGTATGAATTCGTACACAAACGCAGAATAAATGAGCTCGGAGGTCTTTTCTGTTTTGCAGAATCACAGATTTTAAAATGAAAACGTGTCAGTGTGGACGAATCTTCTCTGGTGTTGTTTCAACGTCGACTGGAAACATTTGAGGAACAGAGTGACGCTCTCCAGATGACACGTTTATCATCCGAAGCCTGAGGGGAGGAGCCTCTCTGACGTCCTGCATGAACATGATCTGGTGGAAATCGAAGGAAACTGAGGCTGGAAGAGAAAATCTAATTTATTTCATGAAACTGACGAAGACTCACTGTGTCTAAATGAAGATTGTAAAAGGAAGTTACTCTGTTAGAGCTGAGAGATGAGCAATCGTGTTTTTGAAAAGTCTGAAGTCTCAGATCAGGACGAGAGAAGACGACAGGAATAAAGGGATGAAAATGAGGAGGACGAGGAGCCAGATTTACATCACTGAACATCACAGTCAAATAGAAAAGATGAAAGTGACGTCGTTTTGTATCAAACTGACGTTTTTCTTATTTAAATAAAGATGCTGAAAATAAACATTGCAGTTATTCCACCTGAAGGCAGCAGCTCACACATCTGTGGATAGTAGGTCAGTACTGTGTGTGTGTGTGTGTGTGTGTGTGTGTGTGTGTGTGTGTGTGTGTGTGTGTGTGTCTAATATCTAGGGCAGAGCTTCAGTTTGTGTTAAACCTTCAGATGAAAGAAGAATTAATTCATCAGAGTCTCGGACTCGTCCTCTGACGCTCACTGTTCTTTAATTCCTGAACACGAGCTGAACAGTTTCTTTTTATACAAATATATAGAACTGTGTTACTCACATGAGAGAGAGAGTGAGAGAGAGAGAGAGAGAGAGAGAGAGAGAGAGAGTGAGTGAGACAGAGAGA